ATTACTCAATTTCTTAATTTAAAAGTAAATATTAAAGAACACAGATAAACATCAGTTTTTGTATGTGTCACGTGGTATGTTGAATGCAGCACTGGTTCAAATTAGATGTTTGTGATGTCAAAATACTAAGTCTGTAGTTTTGTACGACAAGCTAGAATATAAAATAAGAACATCTTATCTTTTCTATTTATTAAGATATCACTCATGTAATAAATCCAATACAATGGCACCCTGCCCACCTCTTTCCATTTTTGGAAACACTCCCTTATATACACTTCTATATATGACATGAATAACCAATCGGAAACTCGGAATGTGACCCTAGTGGCTTTCTCGGTCATTTTAATGAGCTTGGATGCTATTTCTTTCTTTTGAACCAATATTTCAAGGAGGCAGATTGTGTCATTAGTCTGCTCGAAATTTCATAATTTTTTATACTAAAATACATCTTAGTTACTTAGCTTCATAAATTATAATGGAATTCTATGGTATTGATGTAGTAATTTATGATTTTATTTTTGGTTACTCAAATGTATGTATATATATATAAAACCAAAAAAAAATTTTTTGTTTCATATCCTCAACTTGCAAAATTTTTAAAGGCTGAGCAACCTATGTCAGGCATGAACTGAGTACAAAGGTTGTAACTAGAAGAGATAATTGTTTGCTTTACTTCTTTAGTTACTGTTCTATGTTTTAAGAAAAATAAGTTTAAGAACTTATTTTAAAATAGCAATAATCTATATACATATATATAATGTATAATAACAGAAATGTGACTGTATTTTACAAAATACTATTCTTCTAAAACACAGCCAAGACAAGTTACTTTGTACAGACCATAGGTCAATTTTATGTTATTGGATACGGTAACATGAGTGCACATGTGCCGCATCATTGTAACTTCTGTATTGTTAGTCAGGCATGGCTGAAAGGTCCATATAATAAAAATAATAAATATATATATATAGAAATGTATCGGTCAAATCTACCAAACTTGTACAGAGATTCATCACTGAAAATAACAGATAAAATATAAAGTTTTTTCATAAGAAATGTTTGATAACTATCTGAACATTATAAAGATTTTGCATGTGAAATTCGAAAATTTTCTGATTCATGAAAGTATTTTTAATCTTAAAATGAAAAGTACTTTGCATGTTAGATAGGCAACATGCGAAAAGAAAAAGAGGCATGAGAAAAACATTGCTTTACAAACCTTAAGACTTAATAAAAAAGAAATTGATACTTTGCATATGAAAGCATTGTAATGTTTGCTGATAATGTAACAAATTTCGTTAACATTTGCTTACTAATTTATAAGTTATAGCATGAAAACTTTAACAAGCACAAAATGGTTAAGAGGTCGGTTCCAGTGACTAATCCCGTGCTGAAAGAGTTAAGTGTCTATGAAGTGGAATATTGTATTTAGTCTCCTTTTTTTTTTCTCTTCTTCTTCTTCTTCATTACTCATGTGGCCAGTGATTTCTTCTCGTTTTTAATCTAACAATGTTGCTGAGGAAGAATACAATCAAGGAGAAGACCATTTGGACTCTCTTTTTGTGGCTCCTCCTTACATTGGTCTGTCACACTCTACACCTCTTCAGGAGATTTCACCTTCCACATCTTTTTTCTTTTTTTACAGCTGATTACTCAGGTCAGTGCATATTCAGTTTTTTCTGTATGGCTGAGATGCTGGTGATTTTGCTACTTTTCTTTTTCCTGCTCCTGTTGTTGTGCCTCCACATCGTTCACTTTGGTGGAGGTTTGTTCTCCTCCTTTCTTCCTATTGCTTCCAGATCTCCCAGTGGATTGGTGGTAAGTTTTTTTACTTGCACACTTTGCACTTGGTTGAGATACCCATGGTAGGCGTGGTTCAGATGCTCTTTGTGTGGCTTTGTCCTTTACACATGGGAGAATTAAGTATTTCATATCATCAATGCTCAGACTTTGGTAAGTTAGATATTCATGTATCCTTTGTCATCTAAGTTAATTTAGAATCTAAGTAATTTTAGTCGGTTTATAAGTTCATTATTATGAAGTACTTTGTAGACTTATAATCCTCATTTTCATCAATGTGAGGCTTATTATTTTTGCATTGCTACATAGGTGATGTGTTTGTTTCTTTCTCATTTGTAGGGCTGAGCTTTGCTTCAGCAAAATTTCCTACATTCTTGATATTAGAATCCAATTTTCTCCTTGTACTCTACAATTCAGGGTTCCTCCTCACGGTACCCACATTGTTGATAGTTATTTTTAGCTAGAAGTCAATTGTTCCAATTTAGGGCCCTACCATTTGTACTAACATTCTCATACTTATTGTGGTTTGTCGAGCTTTACCCCACTTCCTTCTTCTCCTCTGGGAGAGGGTACTTAGTGTACACTCTGACAACTCCACAGTGGTCACTTATTTTACCAAACAAGGGGGGGGTGCCAGACCCAGGTCTGTGCCTTCAGACCCTGAATCTTCTTTTCTGCTCCCACAGTCACCACATGGTGCCTTGCCATGTTCTTGGCACCCTGAATCTGGTTATGAATCATTTATCTCGACTCAACAAGATTCTCCCCACAGAGTGGTCCCTTAATCTACAGGTCTTTCATTGGATGTGTTCTCAGCTGGGAACATCTCATATTCATGCTTTTGCCACCCCCTGGAACATCAAACTTCCTTCCTTTTGGTCTTCCATTCCATACCTGCTATCTATGGGAGTAGATGTATTCAGTCAAGATTAGAGGAGTCATCACATCTATGCTTACCCTCCCAATCAACTCTTCCCCAGAGTTCTATCCCTAATCCAAGCCAGTCAGTGTCTAGTTGTCCTGGTAGCTCCATATTGGCTGGCAAAACCATGGTTCCCACTGCTCTGACCTTTACTTGTACAACCTCCTTGACCCTTACCTCTGTCTCGATCTTCACTCCATCAACCTCTGTCGAACATTGTTCATCCAGACATCATCACACTCAGTCTTCATGCATGGCTTTTGTCAGGTCCATTGCCTCAGCCCAGGGACTGACTGCATGTGTTATATCTTTCCTTTCCCAATCCATCATACTTTCTTCTATGTCCATTTACCAAAGGTGATGGTCTACTCTTCTGTGGCTTCCATCCTTCCCACCCTTCTGCTCCTCATCTTTCCCAATTCTTCATCTCATTGTTTAACAAGGCTTGTTCGATTTAACCGTGTCTAGCTATTGAGCGACCTTGTCAAACACCTTCCGTTTTTCAAGTTTTGTAAGGGTTTGTCATCTCCTGTTATTTCCCTCCTTTTCCTGTCCTTTTGGATCCTGCATCCTCCACGTTCCTTTAATTTACCTAATTGGGATCTCAGTGTGGTCCCTTATGACCTTTCCCATCTTCCCTTTCAACCTTTATTGATGTGTTCCATATACCATCTCTCCCTCAAAACCCATTTCCTTCTCCTCTTCCCTTGTGGATGTTATCGAGCAGATATTTTGACATTAATGTTACCAGAATCCTCTACCATTCTACTTATGTCATCCTATATGCAGACTTGTTCCTTCTTCCTACGGCTGTTTGGCTTTCACACCCATTTCCTTACCTTCCATCTCCCACCTGTTCTCCCATTCTGATCCAGATCGGCTTCTTTGTCCAGTTTGCTCCTTACAATGTTATGTGACACGTACTGCCTCTTTTTGGAGCTAACATTAACCATCCATTGGATGAGATCGTTCAGGCCAGAATATAGACCACTCCCAATACCATCATTGCTCCTTATCTTTACGATATGGTTGTACCTTCCTCAGGTTGATATCATCTATCTCCCATGGTGATTCTACACACGTCTGTTTGCCTTTGATTTGGGTAAGTCTTATCCCATCATTTTGTTTGTTTTCATTTCAGAGGCCCTCTCTCTCTCTCTTTGTTTTTTTTACCACTGCTGATGGGATCCCACTCTGTTGCAAGTGTTGCCTGGTCAGGTATGCTTTGCCTCAAACCTGCACTATTTACTGGTTGTGCTGTAATATTCAGAGTAGAGATGGGATGTTCCACAAGACCACTGGTATGTGCAGTATTATATTCATATGTTTTTTCAATATCCATAAGTTTCATTTGTTGTGGACTGTCACTCATTGACTTTCACGAGTAAAGCAGAAAGGGATTTCCACCTATCCCTGCCAAACCCTTGATTTAATTTTATCGAGGATGGTCTGCTTTTCAAAATATTGAACTGTGGACACCCATTACACTTTCTCCAGTGTGACATTTTTCTGGACTCCACACTGCATTTACTTCCCCCTTTTATCTCTGAGTGGAGCAAGGGAAGTCTTACCATTTCTCAATCACTGGGGTGGTGGAACATAGAGGCTTCCTGAGTGCATTGTAGACATTTAATTTACCATTTATCCACTCAGTGAGAAGAGAGCAAAGCCCAGTCTCTCCTTTCATTTCTCCTGGATGCTCATTCCCAGGTGGATAATTGTCAGTTGGAGCAGGACCAGCCTACACAGGATCCTCCTTGTAATACCAGGTTCAGTATGACACTGCCCTGTTCCTACAGTTGTGTGCAGTAGAGCCTCCCCTTCTTGTTGATTCCAGTTGCAGGTGTTTCTTTTTCTTCGTAATTTCAGTTGCTTGATGTATGATACTGTTTACTTACAGTTGGGGTTCATGTATATGTATAACACGGTCCACATGCCCTAACCACAATGTTTATGTTACTCTGTATTCTTACATTTTCTTACACTGAAAATGTATTTCTGATAGGTATTTACCTCATCTCACACAAAACTGTCTCAATCTTCTTTCTGTCCCCTAAGCATTGCTAAGAAAAATTTCACTCTCAGTGCACCAGTCTGTATACCACACCAATTTCGTGCCACTATTGAACATGTACATATCAGATGACTACTCTCCACCAAGAGTATTGTGCCACCTAGTTAGCTTCCTCTGCTATTCCCACTCAATCCTCACTTTTGAAAATTGGCAAGATCTAAAAGAATAACATCAGCAGTGGGGAGGAAGGGCGGGAAGTATGTTTGTATAGATAAGTACCTATCAGAAATACATTTTCAGTGTAAGAAGATGTTAACTTCCAATATGGTCTTACCTCTTTTTCACACAAATCTAAATCACCCTTCTTTTTCTTTTTCTAGAATGACTGCAAATTGTAACATGAAACAATAATTGTTTATCCTAAATAGCTTAACAGGAGCAGCTCAGTTGCCGTTTTCTGAATCACAGATAAAACTGAGTTGCCATCAATCACAATAAAATGGTAATTTTCATCATTCGCATAGAGCTATAGTTATATATATGCGACTAACAGATATATCTGTTATCCGCAGTTAATGGGTTAAAACTCATAACACTATACATCTCTTTATACTTAATTTTATTGTTTTTTGAACTGTCTTACTAATAATCCCACCACACAAGTTGTAAATCACTCAATGAACATGTAGCTCACACTACTGTATTGAATTATATAGTGCACGAGATGCTCATGAGCTTACCTCGTGAAGAATTTTTAATTCATTTTTTTTATTATCTATTATCTAGCCTAATCTAACCAAATAAGTTTCTAATTCTTACATTTAGATTACTTTTATAACAATAAATAGAGAATACATTCAAAAAACAAATATAGTACTTACCTGGGTCATTCTCTTTCTTTCTTTCTTTCTTTTTTTTTGCTGTCAACTGTTGATGAAACTTACTTAAGCCTACCTTTTTATATACTAATGATACTACTACTGCAACACTAAATTTTTATTTGATTAAATAATGCTCATAAGAATGCAGAATAATAACTTGCACAAAGCAAACAATGTTTTATAAGTCATAACTTATCTGCTTTTCTAACTATATGATAAGAGTCTTTTAAAATTCAGCTAAGCTTGTTGATGTGAATATTGTGAGAAAAAAGTTTCAAATTGAAGGCAAAATAGACAATTCTCTGTACAGAAAACAATGTAATATAATATGCCATTTGATTGATTGAAACTTTGGCTTTCTGTTGGTTATAGATAGTATAGTATAAAATAAAATTTGTGAAAGAGATAATGTTAGAGGTGGGCATAGCAAGTGGGTCTGATTTTCTAGCTTATGGCTCCATAAACAAATAAGATTGAAGGCTATAAAAATTGTGCTCTGCCTTAATAATAATTATTTTATAATGAATAATTTACATTAAATTCCATACATCTAAGAAGAGGGGTAAATATATTGGAGAAGAGGGAAGACCTAGAGAACAAATGTCATAATTCTCATACTAATGGAGATTGGGGACTTTTCCAAATATTTCCTTATAAAATTAAGAATTTAAAGCTTTATATAGTATAAAAATTTGATTTATTAATTATGTTTTGATTAAATGTTTATTGGTATACAATGATAATAAAGTAGTTTTATTAAATTGTGAATGCAACTCTCTAAAAAAAAAGTCATGACATATAAACTTTGACCTACCTGCAGCAAGAAGGTTAAGGATCAGATGGGATAATTAATGTGTAAATTCAATACAGTAAGCATCATGTACAATTAACTGATATAATTTTCAGTTCAACCCCAAACTGTCAGTCAGTAATCTCTGTATAACTCATTTGTAAATTTTTCTTTTCCTTACTAAAACTTGTAATTTCAGTGAAGAAAAGAATCCATGAATGACCTAGAAACTTAATATATTATTCAGTTAGCTACTTCCTGTGGAATTGGCTACAGTTTCACCAAATGACTGCTCTTCAGCACTGTTTGAGAGAGCAAACTAAAAAATACAGTAGGATGACATTTTGTGGTAAAATGCACACAATTTATTGGAGTTGATATAAAGTTCTTTACATCAAATCCTGCAATTTGCTGTACATCCCATCAATCAGTTTGGGGTGAACATTTATTCCCATGATTTGTGTGTTTGTTTTATTATTGATAAAGGTTTTGGTTTCTTTGAAACTGGTGAATAAGCACATTATGTAAATGTTATATATATACCAGCAAATAATATGCACATTTGGTATACACAATATTTATTTCTAATATTGTTTTTATGTAATTAGAAGAAGAAAAAATTACAAAGATGTGCATCTTCTCTGGAGCAATGTTATAGGAAAAAATCTAATACTCTGTTTATTTATGTTTCTTTAACCAACTTAACTCATTTGTTAGTAAAGGGCACGTAATGGAAACAGTCCGACATGAATGAATTGTTCAATAAATGTAAAATTTTTATCTCTCTGTGCTTATTTTGCTTGCTAAAATTGGTAGTAGTATGTATGTTCGTGTGTTTATTAAAATGTTCTTTGGATTTCTAGGAATTCACGAAGGAAATCAGCACCACAGTACCTGGTAAGGAAGGGGAAGTCTAGGAGTCGAAGATCCGAGTCACCAGATGAAAGCATGGACTATAATGGTAACTCATTTCTTTCTTCTGGGAAGCATAGCAGTGTGCAGGGGGAGAGTAGCAAGGTACACTGTGGTGACATCGAGGAAACTAGATCTGAGCCATTTGTGAAGAATTCCATTGGCTTACTAGACGGTTTAAGCCAGTTTTTCACTCCAACCAATAAACGCAAGTCTCGTGTTGCAAAGAGTTCAGTGGCACAGCCTTCAGCATCATCACCTGGACTCTGCTCAGCCTTACCAAGGCAGCTCTGTGAACTTGAAAAGTTACACCTACACAATGATTTTGATCTAGCAAGTAAAGCTCTTTGTAACTTGCGGAGCTCTGAATCCAGCCTATACAAAGATGCAAGCAAACAAAAGGTTGAGGATACAAAGAAACCAAAAAGTAGGTCAGCCAGATTGGCATTAAATATAATTTCATCACGTACATGTTCGTCTGATTCAAGTACTTCACTCAGGAGAAAGTTTGTAGCAGCTCCTAGTCAGATCAAACACACACAAACCAATGGTAGGACCACAAGATCTGTTCAGAGACCACCAGAGTTTGAATCTGTACAAACTGACGCTACCCACTCTGCTATGAAAAATCAACAAAGCATTATACAACATTTTGAATTTCACAGTGAACAAAGTAAGAATAATAGACAGCTCAGACCTCGTGTGAACAAGGTGCAGACAAGAAGAAGTTCTAGACAAATTAGATGCCATGATCACCAAGGTGAGAGAATGATTACCAGACAGCTGAGCTGTCGTAGTTTATGGGAAGAAAAATATAATCCATACTTAGAGCAGCAATCAGAACCCCTACAGAAAAGAGATAGAGAAAGGAAAATGACAACAGATAATGTAGGTTCACAGACAACTAAATTTGCATCACGAAGTAATAAGAGACAAGTTCATATGTTGCCTGCTAAGAATCTTTATACAGTCAAAATGGAACCTGAAGATGTTTCGTTCACTCTAATATCCAAGGTTCCACGTGTCTCTCCCCCAGAAACAAGAAATAGAAGGTCAGGTTCAACTTCTTCTGTTTCCTTAAATGATATGGATGGCAAAATAACTTATTCTGAGAGCAAGAATTTAATAAAGCCTTGTTCTGACAGTGTGGGTGTTGACAAACTTTGTTTCAACAGCAGGGATGATAGCACTGATGGTTCCAGTAGGTTTTGTGGTGAGAAAGATGATGCCAACATTTTGGAATTTTACAAGGAGGACTTGAACAGTTTTATTTCTGAAAAGACTGATCCGAGCAGTGTAGAAGAGACCGGAGCTGATTCCAACAACTTGAAAAAGGATAATTTCAACTGTCTGAAAGGTAACAAGAATAATCCCAAGATTATAGATGCTTGCAACAGCTTTGATGGAAGTAAAATTGATTCCAAAACTATGGAAGGAGGAAAGATTGATTCAAACAGCTTGGAATTAGACAAAACTGATTCCAATAGCTTAGATGGAGACAAAGAGGATTCCAATAGCAGGAATTGCAGTAAGACTGCTGGTAAGCTGATTTTCCATCTTCATTGGGCCACTGAACCAGTTAGTGCAGCTGATATTAATGAACCACTGAACAAGGCTAGATTGCTGTGCCACATCTACACCTCCTTATTCTTCTTTTTGCTAGCCAGCTCACCTGCTTGCTTCCCTTGTTTGTTTGGCATGACAATGAGCAGGAAGTTTAGGCTACCTGAGATATAGTTTTTTTTTAGATTGCTTTCCATGACACTGCATGTCTGCTTTTAGTATGTGCACACTTCAACTTTTGAGAATTTTATTTTCAGCAAGTTTTATTTTACAGTTTGTTTGTTTCCATGCATTTTGGAGCCATTTTACATAAATACTTGCCCAGACCGAAAGTGATTGTTTTGAAGTTTAAAGTAGTAGGTAGCAAGTGCAGTATGGTGAAAGGGATTGTTTTTTTTTTCTGCTTTGATATTTTTATGAATTAACTTGAATTTGTTTTAATATTTGTACTTTGAAATATTTTGAGATATTGTACAGATCATTTAGAAATTCTGTAGAAGTCCTCCAAAGAGAATGAAAGAACTTGTACTGCTAGTACTAAACTGGATTATGGAAGCCTGAATTTAGTATATAGTTATTCTTTTAGTAATGTTTGTTGGCATTAATTTTTAGATAATAGGATTTAGCCTCTAACATAGCTATAGCTAGTAGTTTAAAAATAGTACTAAAACCATAAAACAATAAAAAAAACTTGAAATATGAGATATTTACAAATAGAAGGAAATTATCTTTAAAACAATTTTTCATTCAGTGCTATAGCTAACGGAGTTAAGACTAGAGTATTTGTACATAGAGAGAGTGTGTGTGTGTGTTTTCTGTCCATTATAGTAAGACTGAAATTAACTTGCTAACATAAACTGTAATTACTCAGTATATGACAAGAGATCTTCAATATCAGTAAGTTAGAAAAGCACTTGGGAACCAGGCAAAAACATTTTCACCTCCTGTACTAAGTCTAGCTGCGAAATCTACTATTCCAAAGTGAATTTCATATTCATGTTAGCAATATTTTTGTAATTTATCTTGTAAAAATAATTTTTGATAAAACAGGTACTGAAGTTGTGAACATTTTATTCTGCTGAATTACAGATATCAGTGTTATGCAATATGTTAGTTGGGAATTTGGCTTTCAGTACAAAATTCATTTCTAACTAGTATTAGGTCGTCAAGAAATTAATGTAATGTTTTAGAACAAAAAAACGTACATCACATATAATAGTTAAACGAACCACCTAAATGTTACATTAGTGTAGCCTATATAATGTGTAAAGTTTAGTATACTCTAATCCCTTATAGTGATGGCACATGAAAAGACATACATTCAGCATGAAAACAAGAAGGGAAACAATGCCTTTGTAGCCACAAAGAATATCAAAGCAAATTTCATTCAGGTGACTTT